TATCGCTATATGTGGAAATATCTGGGAAGGAGAGTCAGTGAGAAATCGCTTAAAGAGTATTACAACTTCTGAGGACCCCCACACCCCACCTGCAGTCTTTTTGTCTCTTAAAGCTATATTAGCTCAAGAATTCACAGTATTTGGTGAGTGTGGATCAAATTTTTATTCACTGAAGATGTGAGCATGCTGGAAAATTTATGAAGTTTGAGTTACAGTTCTAGAAAAAATATTTTCACAAATTTATGGGACATTGGATTTTAATTTGGGGCTTTTGCTGGACTTTATATATACTTTTTCACATTTTTATTTGTATTATTTGTGCTGTATCACTTCTATGAGTATATTTTGATGTTTAGTCAATTTCTGAACAGCAGCATTTATTTTTTATTTATTCCTTTGGCGCATTTATTCCTTTGGCGGGATTAAATCAGGCGGTGAGGAGGCAACATATCTCCTCCTCACCACCTGTCAAACACACTTGGATTGCTTTACAGAGGAGCAGCAGTGCCTGCTGCACTTGTGAATGATCCCTTAGTTGTATCCGGAACCAGCACCCTTAGGGCTCAAAATCTTATTATGAAGTGAAAAAAATGCTGCGCTACGTGAAACAATTGCACAATTCCTATATATATCAAAAAGCAAAGTGAAAAATTAAATAAAAATTTAAATATAACATTGTTGAAAAAAATTATGAAATAAATTCTATATACTGTATATACACCGTGTTTCCCTGAAAATAAGACACTGTCTTATATTTTTTTTTGGCTCAAAAAAACACACTAGGTCTTATTTTTTAAATATCCAGGTGTGGACAGGGGGTGCAGAGGTGAGCTGCAGGCAGTTGTGGATGAGGGTTACTATGGAGAGGGCCGGCTGATGACAGTTGTGAGCTGCAGTCAGGTGTTGCAAGGGTGACTTGACAGGGGAGTTTCAGACAGGGTGCAGATATGAGCCACAGACAGGGTGCAGGGGTGAGTTGCAGACAGGGAGATGCAGAGGTGAGCTGTGGCCAGGGGGGTGCAGAGCTGAGCTGTGACCAGGGGGTGCAGAGCTGAGCTGTGGCTGGGGGGGGTGCAAAGATGGGTTGCAACTCAGCTCACCTCTGCACCCCCCAGCCGCAGCTCACCTATGCACCCTGTCTGCAACTCACCTGACTCAATTTTACCTCTGCAACACCTGACTGCAGCTCACCTTTGCACATCTCCCCCTCCCCCTCCACTGCCATCATATGGTTAGCTAGCTTTGCAAAACACAGCTGTCAGCAGCCGGCCCCTCTATATGGTAACTCCCGTTTCGGGTCCTATCTTCCCACACAGTGCACCAAGTGCACTTACTCACCGCTCCGCCTCTTCCCCACTGACCGGTGATCACCCCTGGGGCATTGGCTTCCATGCATTAGGCTGCAGGAGGAGATGCCCCGCCCCTAAACACACTGCATACTGCACCCGCAGATATCAGTTCCTTCCCTGTCCCACAGTGAGTACAGAGGTAGGGGGGTTCTGTGGGAGCGGACGGTGAGTACAGAGGTAGGGGGGTTCTGGGGGACGCGTGAGTACAGAGGTAGGGGGGTTCTGTGGGAGCGGATGGTGAGTACAGAGGTAGGGAGGTTCTGTGGGAGCGGATGGTGAGTACAGAGGTAGGGAGGTTCTGTGGGAGCGGATGGTGAGTACAGAGGTAGGGAGGTTCTGTGGGAGCGGATGGTGAGTACAGAGGTAGGGGGGTTCTGTGGGAGCGGATGGTGAGTACAGAGGTAGGGGGTTCTGTGGGAGCGAGATGGGATGGTGAGTACAGAGGTAGGGGGTTCTGTGGGGAGCGGATGGTGAGTACAGAGGTAGGGAGGTTCTGTGGGAGCGGATGGTGAGTACAGAGGTAGGGGGGTTCTGTGGGAGCGGATGGTGAGTACAGAGGTAGGGGGTTCTGTGGGAGCGGATGGTGAGTACAGAGGTAGGGGGTTCTGTGGGAGAGCGGATGGTGAGTACAGAGGTAGGGGGGTTCTGTGGGAGAGGATGGTGAGTACAGAGGTAGGGAGGTTCTGTGGGAGCGGATGGTGAGTACAGAGGTAGGGGGGTTCTGTGGGATGGATGGTGAGTACAGAGGTAGGGGGGTTCTGTGGGAGCGGATGGGGAGTACAGAGGTAGGGAGGTTCTGTGAGATGGATGGTGAGTACAGAGGTAGGGGGGCTCTGTGGGAGCGGATGGTGAGTACAGAGGTAGGGGGGTTCTGTGGGAGCGGATGGTGAGTACAGAGGTAGGGAGGTTCTGTGGGAGCGGATGGTGAGTACAGAGGTAGGGAGGTTCTGTGGGAGCGGGTGGTGAGTACAGAGGTAGGGGGGTTCTGTGGGAGCGGATAGTGAGTACAGAGGTAGGGGGGTTCTGTGGGAGCGGATGGTGAGTACAGAGGTAGGGAGGTTCTGTGGGAGCGGATGGTGAGTACAGAGGTAGGGGGGTTCTGTGGGAGCGGATGGTGAGTACAGAGGTAGGGAGGTTCTGTGGGAGCGGGGTGAGTACAGAGGTAGGGGGGTTCTGTGGAGCGGATGGTGAGTACAGAGGTAGGGGGGCTCTGTGGGAGCGGATGGTGAGTACAGAGGTAGGGGGGTTCTGTGGGATGGATGGTGAGTACAGAGGTAGGGGGGCTCTGTGTGGAGCGGATGGTGAGTACAGAGGTGGGGAGGTTCTGTGGGAGTGGATGGTGAGTACAGAGGTAGGGGGGTTCTGTGAGAGCAGATGGGGAGTACAGAGGTAGGGGGGTTCTGTGGGAGCGGATGGTGAGTACAGAGGTGGGGAGGTTCTGTGAGAGTGGATGGTGAGTACAGAGGTAGGGGGGCTCTGTGGGAGCGGACGGTGAGTACAGAGGTAGGGGGGTTCTGTGGGAGCGGATGGTGAGTACAGAGGTAGGGAGGTTCTGTGGGAGCGAATGGTGAGTACAGAGGTAGGGGGGCTCTGTGGGAGCGGATGGTGAGTACAGAGGTAGGGGGGTTCTGTGGGAGCGGATGGTGAGTACAGAGGTAGGGGGGGCTCTGTGGGAGCGGATGGTGAGTACAGAGGTAGGGGGGGTCTCTGTGGGAGCGGATGGTGAGTACAGAGGTAGGGGGGTTCTGTGGGAGCGGATGGTGAGTACAGAGGTAGGGGGGCTCTGTGGGAGCGGATGGTGCTTTCACTTCAGTCGCGCTTCTGTGTTTATAAGGGACAGTAGATATGGGTGAGCGCAGGGCCAGTGCCGGAGGTGGTGGAATGGCGTTCCGCCATGTTTCAGCTGAAAAAAATCCCTGATCACAACTAGGTCTTATCTTTGGCGTAGGTCTTATACTTTAGCAATTCCCAAAAATAGCACTATGTCTTATTTTAGGGGAAACAGGGTATATACATATATATATATATATATATAAAACAAACAAGGACCACAAAATATATATATATATAAAAACAAGGACTACACAAAAAAATCAAAAAGTCTTTTGTAAGTATGAATCAAACAAAAGTCATTCAAAAACTCAAGTTCCATCAATAAAGTGTCTTTCAGTGATCCCTCCTTTGGATAATGAAAATATGTGCAGCTGCCACAAATTCCCGTGTAAAAACATCCTCCATATATCTGCTCACGCAGTGTGACCGCACATTATACAATGTTATGGTCTAACTGCACTTTTGGTCCCATTTGCTGCTGAGATGCTGCCATCTAGTGTCTAATCAGTACATCACTGGATCTTCATCATACCTGGTGCAATATACACCTCCGGAACATGAGTGCATTTCTTATGCATTAAATGATGAATAAAAGTTTAAAAAAATAAATCACAATGTGGAGTTCATTTTAATGAGAAATACGGCTGATAGAAAGACGCTCATCAGGAGGGAGCTTACTTTGGAGTCTTCATTCAGCAAGCTGATCTTCTGAGTCCATATGGGACCAAAAATGCAGTCAGACCGTAACATTGTATAATGTGCATGAGGTGAGCAGATATATGGAGGAGGATGTCTTTGCATGGGAATTGATGACAGATGCACATATTTTTCGTTATCCAAAAGAGGGATCCAAAGACTTGAGTTTTTGAATGACTTTCGTTTGATTCATACTTACAAAATACGTTTTGATTTTTTTTTGTGTGGTTCTCTATATATACAATAATAATAATAATTTTAATATATATATATATATATATATATATATTTTTTTTTTTTTTTTTTTTTTTTTTTTTTTAAATAATACTTTTTTTCAACAATTTTATTTTTTTTTTTTTTAATGTAATTTTTTCACTTTGCTTTTTGACATTTGGCATTTTTTTTCACTTCATAATATGATTGTAAAAATTTGCCCCACTGAGATGTGGGTTGTGTGCACTAGCGGCTACAGTATCTATACGTCACCATTTAATTTGTTTTGTTTTTCATTAGTCATAGTTTGCTCTTGAGTTATTCAATTTATTTCCTTTACATATAAAGATAGGGTGTGGTAAAATGCTGCAGTTGAGTCACGGTTTTACTGCCCCCAAGCCTTACCGCCTTTAGCTGCTGAGGCAGTAGCCAAATATTTATAGATGTCGCAGCAGGAATGACACCCCCTGTTGCTTTTGGTGGGTGCTACCACCTCTTATTAAATAAATGGGGTCACTCTTCAAGCTTCCTTCAACTGCATGCTTCTGCTGGGTCCAAAGGGTTAAAGCAGGTGGTGAGAAAGCAACACACCACTGCATTCACTATATCTGGTCTCCCCGGACCCTGCATTCACTATATCTGGTCTCCCCGGACCCTGCATTCACTATATCTGGTCTCCCCAGACCCTGCATTCACGATATCCGCTCTCCCCGGACCCTGCATTCACTATATCTGGTCTCCCCGGACCCCGCATTCACTATATCCCGTCTCCCCGGAAACCCCTGCATTCACTATATCTGGTCTCCCCGGACCCTGCATTCACTATATCCTGTCTCCCCGGACCCTGCATTCACTATATCCTGGTCTCCCCGGACCCCGCATTCACTATATCCGGTCTCCCCGGACCCCGCATTCACTATATCTCCGTCTCCCCAGACCCCGCATTCACTATATCCTGTCTCCCTGGACCCTGCATTCACCATATCTGGTCTCCCTGGACCCTGCATTCACTGTATCTGCTCTCCCTGGACCCTGCATTCACTATATCCGGTCTCCACGGACCCTGCATTCACTATATCTGGTCTCCCCAGACCCTGCATTCACGATATCCGCTCTCCCCCGGACTCTGCATTCACTATATCCGCTCTCCCCGGACTCTGCATTCACTATATCTGCTCTCTCCCCGGACCCTGCATTCATTATACAGTATCTGGTCTCCCCGGAGCCTGCATTCACTATATCCACTCTGCCCGGACCCTGCATTCAATATATCCAGTCTCCCACAGTACACACAACATGGAAATGCAATTAGTTCAGTGAATATAAATTGCTAAATACCTTTTCTCATCAGCAGTATATAGCAGTCTTGTGACTTCTATCAGTGTTCAGCCAAGCGCTAGCTAAAGCTTGTAGAAGGAGTTTTCTTTCTGCTCTAGGAAGATGCAAAACACCTGACCTCTGTCTGACCAGTGCTGATTGGCCCTGTGCTTATCACACGCACTCTCCCAAGGGGAAAAAAAAAAAAACTCTCTAGCAATACACACCAAACTGAGCATGTGCAAAATGCCTACTGTTTATCAGGAAATAAGAGGTGGTCACTTGAAAAAGAGGAGGAACAGAGAAGACAGGATCAAACAGCCATTTCGCAGATGATTAACCCCTTAGGTTCCACAGTGAGTATAACAAGCATGCTTTGTACTGTTGTGGGTTTAGTAACACTTTAAACCCATCATTTCAGAAGAGGTGTCTATAGGCAATGACTATCACTGATGATAAATTTGGCTTCATATGTCAACCAAAAACTTACCTTAAATAACATTTCAATAGAAGAACAACAGCAATTATGATTATCAGGAGGATAATTCCACATGTTATGCCAAAGATCCAATGACTGACTGTTAAAAAATAAAAAATCAAAATAAAGGTAAGTAAAAGTAACAATTTTGAGAAATAAATTCGGTATCCAGAACGATCGCATTTTTTTTTAGCATTTTTTGAGACAGATAAAGCTTTATTTTGGTGATATTTATTCATCACCGGGATTTTTATTTTTATATACAGTTGCAAGAAAAAGTATGTGAACCCCTTGGGATTACATGGAATTTTGCATGAATTTGGGCATAAAATGTGCTCTGAACGTCATCTAAGTCACAACAATAGAAGAACACAGTCTGCTGAACATAATACTACACAAACATTAGATGTTGCCATGGTTTAATTGCACATAACATGTAAACATTCACAGTGCAGGGAGGAAAAAGTATGTGATCCTTTGATTTAATAACTGGTTGACCCTCCTTTGGCAGGAATAACCTCAACCAAACGTTTCCTGTAGTTGCAGATCAGACCTGCACAACGATCTGGAGTCATTTTGGACCACTCCTCTTCACAAAATTGTTTCAGTGTAGAAATATTCTTGGGATGTCTGGTGTGAATCGCTCTCTTAAGGTCATGCCACAGCATTTCAATCGGGTTGAGGTCAGGACTCTGACTGGGCCACTCCAGAAGGCGTATTCTGTGCTGTGGCAGCCATTGTTTTGTTGAATTACTTGTATGCTTTGGGTTATTGTCCTGTTGCATCACCCATCCTCTGCGGAGCTTCAGTTGGTGGACAGATGGTCGTACGTTTTCCTGCAAAATGTCTTGATAAACTCTGGAATTCATTTTCCCATCAATGACAACAATCCGTCCAGGCCCTGAGGCAGCAAAGCAGCCCCAAACCATGATGCTCCCTCCGCCATGTTTTACAGTGGGGATGAGGTTTTGATGTTGGTGTGCTGGGCCTTTTTTTCTCCACACCTAGTGTTGTGTGTTCTTCCCAAACAACTCAATCTTGGTGTCATCTGTCCACAGTATATTTTGCCAGTAGTGCTGTGGAACATCCAGGTGCTCTTTTGCAAACTTCAAACGTGCTACAATATTCTTTTTGGACAGCAATGGCTTCCTCCGTGGTGTCCTCCCATGTACTCCATTCTTGTTTAATGTTTTCCTTATTGTAGATGTGTCAACAAAAATGTAAGCATGTGCCAGAGATTTCTGTAGGTCTTTAGCTGACACTCTGGGATTCTTCTTTACCTCATGCAGCATTCTGCGCTGTGCTCTTGCAGTCATTTTTACAGGACGACCACGCCTAGGGAGAGTAGCAACAGTGCTAAACATTCTCCATTTGTAGACAGTCTGTCTTACCGTGGACACATGAACATCAAGGCTTTTGGAGATACTTTTGTAACCCTTTCCAGCTTCATGCAAGTCAACAATTCTTGATCATAGGTCTTCTGAGAGCTCTTTTCTGCGAGGCATGGTTCACATCAGAGAGTGCTTCTTGAAACCAGTAAACCCAAAACAGGTGTGTGTTTTTTAAGGGCAGGACAGCTGTCAGCAACACATCCAATATCATCACACTGATTGGAGTCAAGGTTGGCTCACTCCTGGCTCCAATTAGCTCTGGGAGAAGTCATTAAGCTAGGGCCTCACATACTTTTTCCTCCCTGCACTGTGAATGTTTACATGTTATGTGCAATTAAACCATGGGAACATCTAATGTTTGTGTAGTATTATGTTCAGCAGACTGTGTTCTTCTATTGTTGTGACTTAGATGACGTTCAGAGCACATTTTATGCCCAATTCATGCAAAACTCCACGTAATCCCAAGGGGTTCACATACTTTTTCTTGCAACTGTAAATGAAAAAGTAAAAAAAAAAATTTAAAAAAGTGTTTTTCTTATAAAATATTGCAAATAAATAATATTTCATCATAAATCTTGGCCATACTTTATTCAGTTTATCTTTTTAGTAAAAAAAATAATAACCCAAATTAGTTTATAACAAAAAATTATAATTTAAAAAAAAAAAATTAAAAATTTTTTTTTTATATTATTATTTATGTTTGATTTTTTTTTACATACTGTCACCCTAGCAGTACAGTGTCACCATGGCGACACTGTACTACTTGTGGGGGTGATGAAGTTTTTTTTTTTATATTTACACTGATTGCGTTTACACCCATAAAGGCTGTAAAAGCAATCATTTCTCCATCTCTCTGGCTGCATTCCTGCAGCCATTAAGAAATGCTGTGTGAGCTGTGATTGGTCACAGCTTGTCACATGGTACAAGGCTGTTGTGAATAGCCCTGTACCATGTGACCTCTGTGATCATTCACAGATTTCACACGTAGTAAGCAATGATGTCAGAAGTGTACCCACCTCTGTACCCTTTAACCACTTCACTAACACCCCCTTCCCTCTCTCCGACCACCACCACCTCCTCACGTTCTCCATCTCCCCTTCCCCTAACTCCCCCCCCCCAGTGCGCCAAACCATCACCAGCCGCAACCTCCGCAACCTGCACCCGGCCCCCCTCCACTCGGCTGCCGACCGCTTACACAACAGCATCCTTCCACTGTCATGTCCTGACCTAGCCACCACCGCGTACAACGACTCACTATCAGCTACCCTAGACTCTCTGGCACCCCTTACCACACGCAACATCAAACCCAGACCACTCCAACCCTGGCAGAACGACCACACTAAATGCCTCAAACGTCGCAGTCGTGCGCTGGAGAGACTATGGCGCAAAACCAGGTCCCCTCATGCATTCTCCCTCTACAAATCTGCCTTCCTCACCTACACCTCCTCCCTCCACGCCGCCAAGCAGGCCTACTTCGTTAACCTGATTAACACCCTCTCCACCTGCCCTCGCCGACTCTTCTCCACCTTCAACTCCCTGCTCCCCCCCCCCCCTCCTCCACTCAGTACCTCACTTACCGCGCCCACGAGATTGCCACTCATCTCCACAATAAGATTGACGCAATCCGCAAGGACATAGTCAACTTGCAATCTACCTCCCCATCTAGCCTCCCCCCTTCCATCACCCCCTCATCTCTCCCCCCCTCTGACCTCGCAACGGCACTGCCCCCCACCACACCCAAGGCCCTGCCTACCGTAACCCCCCCATCACTGCACTCCTTCAGCCCTACTACCACTGAGGAAGTCAGCAGAGTCTTCTCAGAAGCCCCCGCCTCACTACCTGCCCCCTGGACCCTATCCCCTCTCAAACCTCCGGTCACCCCCCTCTTCCCTCATCCGCTCCCTTACCCACATCTTCAATCTCTCCCTCTCTACTGGCGTCTTCCCTCTCCCCCTAAAACATGCGCACATCACCCCCATACTCAAAAAGCCCTCCCTGGACCCCACTGACCTCAACAACCTCAGACCAATTTCCCTGCTGCCACTCACTTCCAAGCTCCTTGAGCGCTTGGTCTTCGATCGCCTAAGCGCCCACCTGACTGACAGCAACCTCCTTGACCCACTACAGTCCGGCTTCCGTCCCCTACACTCCACCGAAACTGCCCTCCTCAAAATCACCAATGATCTACTAACCGCCAAAGCCAAAGGCGACTACTCTGTCCTCCTCCTCCTAGACCTCTCCGCGGCCTTTGACACAGTCGACCACCCCCTCCTCCTTAATAAACTACTCTCCCTTGGCATCAGAGACACCACTCTCTCTTGGTTCTCGTCCTATCTATCCCAACGCTCCTTCAGCGTTTCCTACAACGATACCACCTCCTCTTCCCTCCCCCTCTCTGTTGGGGCCCCCCAGGGCTCTGTCCTTGGACCCCTTCTCTTCTCCATCTACACCTCCTCCCTTGGCAAACTCATACACTCCCACGGCTTCAATTACCACCTCTATGCTGATGATACTCAAATCTACCTATCCACCCCTCACCTCACCCCCACATTCTCCGCCCGCATCACTCACCTCCTAAACGACATCTCTGACTGGATGTCTCTCCATTTCCTCAAACTCAACCTCTCCAAAACCGAGCTTCTCATCTTTCCCCCTTCCTGCGCCCCCCCCCCCATCCTTTCCGTCACTACCAACAACACCACCATCAATCCCGCCCAGCAAGCCAAGGTCCTTGGCGTCATTCTGGACTCAAACTTTTCCTTTCAACCTCATGTCAAATCACTGACAAACACATGCAGGCTCCACCTCCGGAACATCGCCAAGATACGCTCCTCCCTCACCCCAGACACCACTAAACTACTCGTACACTCCCTGATTATCTCACGCCTTGACTACTGCAACTGCCTACCCCAGTGCAGGCTCTCCCCGCTTCAGACCATCCTGAACTCAGCGGCCAGACTCATCCACCTCACCAGCCGCTCCACCTCTGCCACCCCCCTCTGCC